AGAATCCCTAAACGAAACCGGAGCTCTGTGGTCTCTGTGCGCTTGGAACCACACTCCGCACTCAGTGGAAATGGGAGATGTGTAGGGAGTCTGCCTTCTCCTGTCTGCTTTTCTAGGGAAGGTCCCCAGCGAGAGAGGCAGATAACCAGAGTCGGACCCAGATTTCCATCCCAGGAACCATCCTAGTGTCCTTTCAAGCCCCACCTAAGTCCTGCGCTCAGCAAACGTTACCTCTCCCTCCTCCTCTGGCCGTGGAGGGACAGCCGCAGGGCCTGCTCCTCTCTCGCCTGGAGGCGGGGCGCAGAGAGGGCTGGGACTGAGTTAGGGACTCTCAGCCGCGCTCGTTCACACTTTGGAGCGCGTCCTCTAGAAAGACCCAAATTCCACAGTCCGTACCGGAAGCGACTGCGCCAAGCAACCGAACCGTGGCTTTGAGGCGAGTGCTGTGGAGGCGCCTGAGGTTGGCTCTAGGAGATAGTTGGTGCGCTTCACGAACGCAATTACTGACTAGGCAGCTCTGAGCAAGTTACTTATGGACTCAATCTCTTCCACAAGTTGGGCACAGAATTTCTCCCATCCCAGTCTCACAGGGGCATTAAACTCTTCGTAGGGAAAAACGCTGTGCGTTGTCAGTGGCAGGCAGAGCTGGAGGAGCCTAATTCTCCAGGCTGGGAGGCCCCAGGATCAGGACGCGCCTAACCACAGGCCCCATTCTCCTCTCTCCCCTCCTCCGTGCCTGCTCTCTTTCTCTCTCTCCAGTCGCTTTGCCTTCTTAGTGTCCTCTCCCACTCTGTGTGTCCCTCCTTGATCCCAGGGTCCCTCCTTGCTCTCCAGCCCCCATGCCTGTGTGCCCACCTCCAAGAGAAGCCAGGGCGCTTACTCACCTGTCCAAGGAGACAGCGGCCAGCGTGAAGCTGCTGGCGTGCATAGTGAGGAAGATGAGGAAGTGCACGGCCTTGCAGAGCAGGGAGCCGAACACCCAGCCATCCAGGGTGTAGATGGTGGCCTGAAAGGGCACGCAGCACAAGATGAAACACAGGTCGGCCACGCCCAGGTTGAGGATGAACAGGTTGGTGGTGCTGACTGCCTGGCCGCCGCGCAGCAGCACCGCCAGCACTAGCGCGTTGCCCACGGTGCCCACGAGGAAGATGAGCGCGAAGAGCAGCGGTACGATGACCGCCTCGGGCTGCCAGCCGTCCCCGCCATCCACCTGGCTCGCGTTCTCGGCCCTGGGGCCGCCGGAGCTGTTCATGGTGCCGTCACACCCGAGGTTGTCCAGGCTTCTGCAGCCGTCTGGGTCTCGGTGAGAGTGCAGCTCCCGCGGCTGCGGCCTCTGCAGCGTGCAGCGCGACTCCGGCGGCTAGCTGCAGGCAGAATGTGCCTCTTGGTGTCAGGATTGGGTGGGGGGAGCTCTGAGGTGAAGGGGAGGAGCGAGCAGCCAAAGAGGGTGGGATTGTCCCCAGCGGCGGCAGGCAACTCTAGGGAAAAGGATACCGAGTGGCCCCAGCGCGCGGCGTCTCACCCCGAAGGCGGAGAGCCGCACTGGGGTCTGGTTTTCCGTTCTAGTCGTCGGGTCCGGGCTGTTCTGGGCTGCACCGGCAAAGTGACTTAAGGCAGATGCCTAGGTGGTGGAGGGACTGACCCAGGGTCCTGCGTGCTGCGTGGGCGCCACGTGGGAAGGAGCACCCGCCTGGAGGCCCACGCCTTAGCGCTTCTTGCGGCTTGGCGGCTGCGCCACACCCCCCAGGACTGAAAGAGTTCTAGTCTGGCCCCTGGGGTGCGGGGAGAGGTAACACCGGGCGGAGGCGGAGGCAGGGGTGGGGACAGTTTTCCAGAACTAGCAAAACAAAGAACAACAGCCTTCATGCCTCTGCCCATTTCTAATTCCAGCGAGCACCGGGACTCAGTCCCCCAGGGAGCATCGGAGGGGAGGGAGGAGAGTCCTGACGAAATTTGGTTAGCTTCATTTCACTCCCTGCTCTCACCCACTGGCGTTTTACCCTCCAATTTAGTCCAATACGTATGTGTTGAGCATCTATGTCGGGCTTTGTCTTTGGCGCTGTGCCTCAATTTCATCTCTGTAATAAGGAAATAGTAACACTTCCTTCTAGGAGGGCTCTGTTGAGAATGGGATGAGAAGTAACTGAAAGGCCTGCATCTGATTGGTTCAATCTCCTTCACCTTATTCAAATATCTAAAAAGGGAGAATCCTGAGGAAATTCAAAGTCCCAGAGTCCCACACACCAGCAGCATTTTCATGGATGGTTGTTTACATTGCAATAAAACTTAAATCTCTGTGTCTACATCAAGCATTTGTGGCAACAAATCATTACTATTTGTGTAGAATTTAAGCCTCCCTGTTCACTGAATCTGAAAATCACCCCCTTTTATCTCTGCAGCTCCTTTCCTTTCCTTTTCCTTTCCTTCTGGGACAGAGTCTCAGGCATGTGCCACCACACCTGGCTAGTTTTTCTATTTTTAGTAGAGATAGGGTCTCACTCTTGCTGAAGCTGGTCTCCAACTCCTGAGTTCAAGCAATCCAAATGCCTTGCCCTCCCAGAGTGCTAGGATTACAGATGTGAACCACTGCACCTGACCTTGTAGACTTCACTTCTGCTTCCCCTTCCCTGCTCCTTGGGTTCCAGTCAAGAATATTCTTTTGGGGCAGGCATGAATGGTTCACGCTTGTAATCCTAGCACTCTAGAAGGGCAAGGCAAGTGGATTACTTGAGCCCAGGAGTTCAAGACCAGCTTCAGCAAGACTGAGACCCCATCTCTACTAAAAATAGAAAAACCTAGGTGGGCATAGTGGCAGGCGCCTGTAGTCCTAGCTGCTCAAGAGGCTGAGGCAAGATGATTACTCAAGCCCAAGAGTTTGAGGTTACTGTGAGCTATGATGACGCCACAGCATTCTACCAAGGTGATAGAGTGAGACTCTGCCTCAAAAAAATATGTATTGTTTTTCGCTGGGTATGGTGGCTCGTACTTGCAATCCTAGTACTGTGGGAGGCCAAGGCAGGTGGATTACTTGAGCTCAGGAGTTCAAGACCAGCCTGCACAAGAGCAAGACTCATCCCTATTAAAAATAGAAAAATTAGGGCTCAGTGGGTAGGGTGCCAGCCACATACACCCAGGTTGGCGCGTTTGAACTCAGCCTGGGCCAGCTAAAATCAACAATAACAACTGAAACAATGACAAAAATAAATAAATTTGTAAAAAAAAAAAAAAGAAAGAAAGAAAGAAAGAAAAATTAGTTGGGCATGGTGGTGAGCACCTGTAATCTCAGCTACTCAGCAAGAGGATCACTTTAGCCCAGGATTTTGAGGTTGCTGTGAGCTAGGGTGATGCCATGGCACTCTAGTCTGGGTAACAGAGTGAGACTCTGTCTCGAAAAAACAAAAAACATCCTTTTTGCTTTTTATTCTTCAGGATCTCAATCTCTCAGGAGCATAGTGATCTCCTCCTCTTGGTGGAGAAAGCTCATTCCCACCCCTCCCTACCTGCTTATTAACTGAACAGGAAGGTGATGACAGTTCATGCTGATGAGGTGCTTGCCATTTATTTATTCAATATGCTTTTATTAAGCACTTACTTCCCGCCGGCACCGTCTTTTTGTCCTTAGGATATAATATACCAGTGAGTTCTACAAAGAGCAAGGCCCCTTGTGAGCTTACTCTCCAGCAGAATATCCTAGATGATAAACGTAATTTAAGTAAGTTATCAAGCTATTATAAGTTGATGAGTACTTGCAGGAAAAGTAGGTCAGAGAGGATTTGGGAGTATAAGGGTGGTGGTGATGGTCAACTTAAAATAGGATAGTCAGGCAGACCCCATTAAGAAGGTGACTTTCGACCCACGACTTCAAGGAGGTGAGTGGGTCAAGCAGATATTTAGGGGAAGAACATTTCAGAGAGAGAGCACAGCCAACACAAAAAGCACTAAGGTAGGAATGTGTTTGTGTCCCTAAGGCAAGGGGGCTGGTATGAAAGAGCAAAAGAAGAGATTGGCAGAAGAGGTGAGAAAAGGACTACTATGAAATCAATATATACCCACCTACACACTCATATGAATGGCAAAACATAACTATAGTCCAGAAAGTAGAAGGGAAGAAGAGAGAGAGGGGAGATATGGGAGGAGGGAGGGTATTTGGGGGGACCTCACCTAATGTGCATGATGCAATGGTACATTTCAAAACTACTAAGAACAGTAGAGTATAATTGTGATAGATGTGTTACTTAGTTCAATGTAAACATTTCACATTGTATTATCAAAGTAGTACCCTGAACCCCATAAATGCATCTATGTATAAAGTTATGATTTAATAAAAAATTTTTTTAAACTGGGGCAATGCCTGCAGCTCAAAGGAGTAAGGAGCTGACCCCATATGCTGGAGGTGGCGGGTTCAAACCTAGCCCTGGCCAAAAACTGCCAAAAAAAAAAAAAAAAAAAGAGGTGAGAAAAGGGCCTTTTTTTCCATCCTAAGGATTGTGGCTTGTAGTTGAGTAAAATGAGGCCTAGCAGGGTTGTGTAATTTTTGGTAGTAGTTTTATTGAAATATAATTTGCACGCCATACTATTTCCCCATTTTAAAGCATGCATTTGGTTTTTAGTACATTCAGAGTTGTTCAACAATCACCACAATCAGCTTTAGAACATTTTCTTCCCCATCAAAAGAAATCCCTTTAGCCTTCAATCTCCCATCTACATCCCCATTCCACCTCTATCTACACCCCATCCCACCTCCAGCCCTAGACAACCACTAATTTATTGTCCTATAGATTTACCTACTAATATTTCATGCAAATGGAATCACAACATATGTGTTCTTTTGTGTATGACTTCTTCCACTTACTGTGTTTTCTTTTTTTTTTTTTTTTGAGACAGAGCCTCAAGCTGTCCCCCTGGGTAGAGTGCCATGGCATCACAGCTCACAGCAACCTCCAACTCCTGGGCTCAAGCGAGTCTCCTGCCTCAGCCTCCCAACAGGTGCCCACCACAACGCCTGGCTATATTTTTGGCTGCAGCCGTCATTGTTGTTTGGCGGGCCCAGGGCTGGATTCAAACCGGCCACCTTAGGTGTATGTGGCTGGTGCCTTAGCGCCTTAGCCACTTGAGCCACAGGCGCCGAGCTCACTTACTGTGTTTTCAAAGTTCATCTTGTGTGTAGTGTAATTAGTATTTCATTCCTTTTCTTCATGGCCAATAATATTCCATTGTATGGTTATACTATATTTTGCTTTTCAATTCATTTATCGGTGGACACTTGGGAAACTTAAAAAATGTGTAATTGGTTATTCTCATTTCACAGATGAGGGTGCAGGTTTAGAGGGAGATTACATTACTTGCCCAACATCTCCCAACCAGTAATTATGCAGCAGGGACCAGATGGTGCCTCAGGACTCAGATTTTAGAGGCTGCAAAGATTCTTCCATCCCCCAACACTTCTCCCTCTTTGGACTGATCTACCCAAAGTCCAGCCCCACAGGAAAGCGCAAGGGGGGTACCCTCATAGACGGGGTGCTTCGTTTCTACAGGGTAATCCGTCTCTTGAGTCTTCGGGGAAACAGTACCCCCGAAACCCAAAGTCCTTAGTCTTCCGCTCTCTGCTGTGCGGAACGTGAGCCGGATGCTCAATGCTGGAATGCGGGAAGTGGGGGTCCATTTCTAGGTCCTCCAGCCCTGGAGGGACAGTCCGTAAGGTTGACCCCGAGAAGACCTCAGCAGCAACTGCTTCTCCGCGTCTGCGAGCGCCACCCTACCCTGCTACGGTGCTGGAACAGGGACTCCCAGACCAGCGCAGGCGCACTCCAACTAAAGGCTCCCAGTGGCCAGAAGGGCCGGCGGCGGTAAGGTCCGCCGCTATCCCATCAGCCCGGCCTAGCAGGGCCCGCTCTTACCCGCCCCGGTCGTCCCGCCTCCTCTATCCCGTCGTGCTCTGCGGCGCAGGGGTAAGATGGCTGCTGAGAAACAGGTCCCTGGCGGTGGCGGTGGTGGCGGCAGCGGCAGCGGTAGCGGCGGTAGCGGCGGCGGACGAGGCGCCGGAGGAGAGGAAAATAAAGAAAACGAACGCCCTTCAGCCGGATCGAAGGCAAACAAAGAATTTGGGGATAGTCTGAGTTTGGAGAGTATCCTAGAGCAATCGGGCCTAACTTGCAATGACTACGTGTCGATCTGGAGGGCTGGGGATGGGAGAGGCGGCGGGTCCGGCACGTCCTGGGCAGGAGAGGCTGAGGGTTGCAGTATCTCCCGCTTTTACTTTTTGGCTCTCAGAGACCTAGGCTCTTTCTCTCATCCCTCTCGCCCTCCTGGTTGGGTAACGTCCTTTTTTC